GTCTTCAAAAAAAGCACTTACTAGATTTCACTACCAATTTCATATTATTAATAGTTCACTGATAAAGAATGGTCTCTCCTATGGATAAAAATGCAAAACAAAAGTGAACTGTATTTATGATTCCATTAAATATGAATATATGTGCATATATGTATATATATGTATATATATTACATTTATATCTAAAGCTAGGATGCCATTGTATCTGTATATTTGAGGATTTAAGTAACATCTCAAACAGATCACTTGTTTTCTTGTTTTTAGGTGATCAGAGATAATGCAGAATATCAATACAGATTTCAAAAATCATCCCCAAATTTTCTTTTTCTTGATCCCTTTTTAATTCTTATACTGACTTCAAAGTCTTTTTTTCTAATGAAGAAATATTTTTTTTCTTACAGGATAAGGACCACAAATGAATGTGTGTGTGTAAATACATACACATGTACACGTATATTTTTGTTCAGTCATTTTTCAGTCATGTCTGGCTCTTTGTGACCCCTTTTCGGGTTTTCTTGGCAAAGATACTGGAATAGTTGGCCATTTCTTTCTCTAGTTCTTTTTACATATGAGGAAACTGAGGCAAACAAGGTTAAGTGACTTGTCCAGGGTCACACAGCTAGTAAGTATCTGAGGCCAGACTCAGGAAGAGGAATCATTTTGATTCCAGACCTAGCACTCAATCCACTGCACCACCTAGCTACCCTATATGTATATACTTGATGCAGTTTTAACAGATTTTTCTAATATTATTATTTATGTCTGAATCACAGATAGCATATAGCTTTACGTCACAAATAGCTTGTAACTAGCTACATACTAGAATCAGATAAGCAGTCATTTGAAAGCCCTTACTATTCAATGAAAAAAAAAGTGCCCACTAATAATCTATAGTAAATCACTACATATTGCCCTTAGTCCAGAATTCTGGCAATCTGCTAGAAGCTGATATACCAATAAAAATATTTTGGAAAATAATTTCAATGGTACATTTCCTTTTCACCATAGAATAAACACTATTTGATATCTGATTATCATTTAATATTAAGTAGTCATCATGTTTTCACTTCAATTTTTTAGGAATACCTTTCTTAGTGGAACATCTGATGGTGATTGCAAAGTCAGAATGCCTTTCATTGGCATAAGCTACTATTATTCATTTTCTAGGTCTACATACTCAGGAAAAAAAAGCACAATGTCCTTTTTCAGTAGAGCAATTGTAAATGAGATGTTTCCTTAATATCCTTCACTTAGCAGCAGGTTGGAAATCCAATTTTGTTTCTGCCAGTTGCAAGAGCACAAGAATCACAACCCAGTTTTGATAACCACTACCATATTGCTAAGAACTGCTGTCAAATGAACCTCAGGTTAAAGTAAAACACAACAGAATGAACAGTCCAGTGGTTCTCTATTATTTCTTGGATCAAATATGAAGTCCTCTGACTTTTGAAGCCTTTTATAACCTGTCACCTTCCTACCTTTCCAATCTTCTTATGCCTTTCTTCCTTCCATTCCTGTTCTTCCTTCATACTCTGCAATCTGGTGACACTGGCCCCCTTTCTGTTCCTCATAAAAGATACTATCTCCCAACTCCAAGCAATTTCACTGGCTAGCCTTGCTCCAAATGCTCTTCCTCTTCAACTCCATCGCCTGGCTTTTCTGGCTTCCTTCAAGCCTCAGCTAAAGCCTCACCTTCTGGGGGCCATGTCCAGTCATCCTCATCTGTATCTTGCCACTGGACCCAGATGGTTCCAAGGAGGAAGTGAGGCTGATGACTTTGCACAGCCCTCCCTCACTTAATCTAATTCACTTGCCAGTCATAGCAACACTTTCCTCACGCCATGGTCCTCTTCCAGAATGAGAAGGAAGGACAAACAGCCCCACCTTCTACAAGCTCCTTTTCCTGATTCTCCTTAACGCTAGTGCCTTTTCCCCGAGATTATCTCTAATTTATCCTGTGTATATCTCCTTTGTACATAGTCCTTTGCATACTACCTCCATCATTAGATTATGAATTCCTTGAAGGTCGGGACTTTGATTTAACTTTTCTTTCTAGGCCTTAGCACAGTGCCTGGCATAAATTAGGTGCTTAATAACTGTGCATTGACTTGACTTGAGTGAAATGATATAACCAGGTCCTTTGGGAATCTTGATTAGAGCCCAAATTAAACCTGTCTTAAATTAAAACCCATGGTAATGAGGGTTACATTACAGCAAGTGAGCTTCTAAGAGGTGATTATTAGAAAATTCTGTGGAAGAATCATTTGGTTTCCATTCTCAACCGAGAGGGAATCTTAGTGTCCTCATTTTCAAGGACATTCCCTTCACACTCCCTTCCCCCTAATCTTTTGCTTTAAAAAAGTGGAACAGTTCCACATCAGCAAAATCAGGAAACTTGAAGGCTCTGGTTTAGAATGCTAGAATGAATTTAATTCAGTGTTTTTGAAAGGAGATTCTCAAAAGCCTCGAAAAAATATTTGTTCTTACTAACAATTAGGCCATGCTGGGAAAATTGTCTCAGTGACTTTATAGAAGGAAGAGTAAAATGGATATCCAATCTCTTATCTTTGCGGTATGTATGGAAGAAAGCTACTACAAAGGAATTTCACTTCCATTAGGATAAGGACTGGACCAGTGATTTTACTGGTATAGAGAACTCCCAGGTAAGAAAATTCTCTCTTCCACTGCACATCAGCACCTTCTCTGTGATTTATAGTCTTGGAGAGTTCCCAAGGACACTAAGAGTTAAGGGACTTGCCTAAGATCCCACAGTCAGTATGTATTGGATGTAGGACTTGAACATAGGATATCTTGGCTTCTAGGCCAGCTTTTTACCATATACAATCCTATTTCTCTTCACTTCCACAGAATGAGGAAATGCATAGCTGGCATTCAGAGAGTGTGGGCTGGGCATGATGGTACACCTTGGTGGAGAATCCCCTTAGGCCCCAGCCCTGAGGGGAAGTAGAAGGGCCAAAACTCTTCCTCAGAGTGCACCCTGCCTACAATTCTATGCGTCCATGAGTAAATGTTGAAATAATGAACACATAAAGCTTTGAAACGATAGTGTTAATGGTTTAAGTAAAAAACAAAAACAAAAATCCGGAGAATATTTTGACATCTAATTTCAGAATAATTGGTAGGTGGTTCATTTGTAACATGTGCTAGCTTTCCTTTTGGAGACACAAAAACACTCGGGGGGAGAATCAGTCTCTTTGGGAGAAGGCAGGGCTAATTTAACCTCCACATTGCCAAAAAATAAATGTAGTTCATGTGTGACTTTAACAGAGGTTTGGTTCTCTCTGCACTGACTTTCTTGTTTCATGGCATTACATTCATTCTTCCTATTTCAGGATCAATGTAAGAGATATACAAAAGATAAAATAGCATTCTCATATATGACCACATTTTAGTGGTGGAGAGTGGTGAAGAAAACATGATGAGTCATTTCCCTCCATAAGTATCCACTCCCCAGTCATTAATATGGACACTTTTGGAAGCTGGTTTATTTAGCTTCTACAATCTATTGTACTAAGTGGATTCTTCTTCACTCGGTGATGTGAATATAGTTTCCAAAAATGTCCTACAGCTGAGGCAAGAGAAGAATTTGTTTTACATTAAACAATAACAGATGACATCTTGATTTAGCTAGATAAATTCTCTAGATTTTTATGACCCTTCCTTCCTTTCTTTATTCATGGCAACCAACTGAAGTAACGTTTAGCAATGAATTATGCTATTTACTGCCTGTGTAAACTTGAGCACATTGCTGTCACTTTCCGGGTCCATTTCCATATCTGTAAGCATCAGAAGTTTGATTAGGAGCCTAAGGTCCTCAGTGTGTTATGAATCTACAATTGTGTCTGCCATAGGAAATATCACATCAATAAATATTTACTGAACATCTTTTAAGTCTAAGATATTCTTCTATATTAAATGTAAGGCATAGTTTCAGCCCTCCTGAAGTTTTTAAGTCTATAGGATGAAACATTTCTCTGACTGATGCACAATACTGTTGGAAATGTCTGTTGTTCAGTGGCGAGTTGCAAAGTGGCATATTGACTAGCCTCTGACCTTGCTTTTAAAGGCTATCCATGGGAGTGCAATTCATGAAGAAATTTTTCTGCCTTTGGCTTTTGGAGCATGCTGCTAACTTGCCATTCACTACAGAGTTTGAATAGAAAAGCTCTATTTTTCTCAGGTAGATGTAATACTATGGGGTCTAACTCAGCCAGATATTTTATCAATGTACCATGATTTGTGCTGCAATGTAACCAAAGATGCAAAATGCTTCTCTCCAAGGCCTTCCAATAACCTAGAAAAGACCTAAAGCCAGAGATGTAATAATAATATATTTCTCAAGCACTTTAAGATTTACAAACCACATCAAGCTAATATTATTATCACCATTTTACAGACAAGGAAATGGACGTTTATTGAGGTTAAGTGAGTTGACTGAGATTAAAGAGCCAGGTGGTGGCAGTCCTAATTACTTAATTATGCACTTAATTAGACATACATTGGACATAATTTTTATTGGAAGAATGAATAGCTGTTATAGCATTTTTTTACTCCTACTGGTAAAATAAATATAATAAACAATATATGCTTAATAATATTATGTTGATAACATTTTACTGTTTATAATGTTATAGTCATGGATTATAACTTCTGCTTTAGAAATGAAGAAACTTAGGCTCAGAGGGTTAAAGTGACTTGCCCATTGTAACCCAGCTAGTTAAATATAACTTGAAATCCACTATGCCAAGCTGTAGACCTTAAATAGGTGTTTTGTTTTCATACTCATAAAAAAAAGAAATCCCAAAGGTTGAACTCTGGGAATATCATCAGTCCTTTTTTTTCATACATAGACATTAAGGCTTGCTGTTCAGAGGGTGTAAGAGCTACAGATTTGAAAACATAAGCATACACATTAAAAAAAACCAGCTTCAAACAGGCAGTTCAACATTACATAATAGAAGAGGCAAGAATTTGCCTACCTTTCTCCGATGGGATGGTACAATAAAAAAGGTTTCGATATTATGTTTTTTCAAGAAACTGTTCCTCTCATGTCCAAAACCTGGTTCTACCTCATAGTCCCCATTTAGGCACTCTAAGGTGGTCTTTGTGATATGAACCTTCCTAGAAAAAAGGAGGCAGATGTTCTGAAAAGAAAAACATTACAAGAGCTCCTGGCTGTTTCAAAACTCAATTCTCCATACTTTGAATGCTCCTTTGGAAGCCCTGTTATCAAGGCTAGATGAAAACATTTTGAGACTTTATCTTATGTAAAATATAAGAAGGTCCATAAATGGAGTATTACTTTCATAGAAGGGTCACAGTAACCAACAAGTTTAGTATTTATCTTTACATATATACAAAGGTGAGTCACCTTAAAGAAAGAGGAGGAGGGGTAGGTAAAGCAGAAAGCAGAGTTATAATAGAGAAAAGAGAAAGGAAAAAGAAGAAATAAGGAAGGAACAAAAGAAAGGGAATGTTGGCAGAATCATTAAAAAAACTGAGTATGGCCCCAATGAAGAGAAGATACCCTACCCTACTCCTTTGCAGAGATGGGGAATCCACAGGTAGAGAACATTGCATGTCTTTGTAGATTTTTTTTAGTGTACTGATCAGTTTTGCTGATTTTTTTCCCTTTTTTTCCTCTTTTTCTTTAAAAAATGTATTCTTTGTGACAAAGGATGGCTTTAGGGAAGGAGGAACATAGGGATGTTAGGAGAAATTTAGACAATATTAAAACAAAAAAAATCATTGAAATTAATTTAGAAATAGGACAGAAAAGAAAGAAAGGTGGAATAAAAAGGGAAATCATGACAAAATGGTAAAAGAGGACAAGAAAAAGGAACAAAATGGAACCATTTCACTATGTGGGCTGGGAAATCCCATTAAAGCCTTCCAACTGGAACACAGTAACTTCAAAATGATAGGAGCCCTCCTTTTCCACCTCATATTCCCTTGGAAATTCTGACTCATGGTATAAATTCTTTAAAAATCATGTTGGAAAGGTGGGCCTTAGGTCAAGAACAACTTTTCCCCTTCAGAAAAATGGATTAAGGTAAGTAGGTGGCACCATGAATAAAGTGCTGAACTTAAGAGTCAGGAAGACTCAAATTCAAATCTAGCCACAGACAATAGTTTTGTGACCTTAAGCAAGTCATTTAATCTCTGACTCAGTTTCCTCATCTGTAAAATGAGAATAATAATAGCAACTACTTCCCAAGGTTGTTGTGAAGATAAAATGAAATAATATTTGTAAATTGCTTTATAGACTTTAAAGCACTATATAAAGACATTATTATTATTATTATTATCATTATTATTGATGGTACCTATTTTAAGACAATAACTTTTGTCCTGTTCATTAGTGCTAAGAATTATCCTTTTCCAGTGAAAAGTCTACAGGGTAAGAAACCTGTGACCTTAAAGCCACAAGTAGCCCTCAAGATCCTCAAGTGTGGCCCTTTGACTGAATCCAAACTTCAGTAAAAAGGGCCGTACTTGAGGACCTAGAGGGCCACATGTGGCCGTGAGGCTGCTGGTTTCCCGGCCCTGGGCTAAGATATCTATGGAAGAGAAGTCTTTTTGTTTACTCCAGGAGAGAGAGGAGCGGCCCAGCTGACTTGGTTATTTAACTATTCTTGAATATTAACCCAGACTGTATTTTAACGTATATTTTTCTTCCTCAAGATTCTTATAAATGTTCCCCCAAATCATTTTGTGACATTCATGTTGGAGGAAGGACAGGTTATATAAGTTTGAACAACTCTCTCGTTCCAAGTTAGAAATGACTTGCCTAAAGATTAATGTTAAATTAAATAAAATTGTTTCTGGAAGATGAGCCTAAAAGCACAGAGTACAGAATTAATATTAATAGTTTTTTTCTTTGACAAAACAAATATTTCTATTAATGATCAACTCATTATTGTGTCTAAGATTATATGGGGAAATGTTTCAAAGAGTAAAAATTACAGTCTTTGTTTTTTACATTCCCTTTAAAAGGAAGAAGCCCTTTCATCCTGTTGGGTTGGGATTAGCTCCCAAATGCTCTCTAAAAAAGAGATCTACAATCAATTGACAGATTCACTCATGTGCTGAAAAATGGAAAGAGCTGGAAGGCAGACTTGAATGTGCTGTTATCTCAACAGCCTCAAGTGTGACTATTTGCAGCCTTCAACCACCTAACTTACTACTTAGTAGTTCCTTTGGCACTAGGGGACAACCTTGCTGACAAAAACATTTCTCCCTAACCCACTGATCCTCAGGCCCTTGGATAGAGGAATCTCATAATCAGTTCTGCCAAATTCTTTGGTCTGGCAACTTGTATTTATGCCAGTGGTTCTCAGTCTTCTTGCTCTGTGGCACTTTTGTTTGGGACAAGGGGAGGTCAAGGGAGAGGGGACAGGGATATGACAATAATGAAAGAAGAGGGTAAGGACAGAAGTGAGAGAAAGAGATAGAGGAAAGGAAAAGGACAGAAAGGGGGGAAGGGAAACAAATGGGAGGGGAAAAGGAAACAGGAGAGAGGAAAGGAAAGAAGAAGAAGGGAAGTGACGGAAAATGAAGGAAGGGAGAAAAGAAGGGAGGAAAATAGAAGTAATGTTAGGTAGGTACACAAGGAATGCAGGAGGGACAGAGGAAAAGAAGGAGAAAAAAGAGAGAATTAAAGAAGAAAAAGAAAGGGAGAGAGAGAAAAAAGAAGAGAATAAAGAGGAAATGCATTTTCCCTTTATTGGGAAGTGGCCCAGCAGCTAGGCGGTTTAGTAGATAGAACACTGGGCTTGGAATGAGGAAGACTCATCTTCATGAGTTCAAATCTGGCCTCAGACACTTACTAGCTGTGTGACCCTGGACAAGTCACTTAACCTTGTTTGCTTCAGATCCCCATCTGTAAAATGAGCTGAAGGAGAAAATGGCAAATCATTCCAATATCTTTGTCAAGAAAACCCTGAATGAGTCAAACCACAAAGATTCAGACACAACCAAAACAAATGAACAACAGCCCTAGCACTTGCTGAAATTCAATGGGTTTGGAAGTCAGAAGATCTGTATTCAAATCCCTGCTTTGCCATTAATACCTACGTCATCTTGGGCAATTCACCTACTATTTCTGGACCTCAGTTTCTTCATCTATAAAATTAAGGGGTTAGGATTAGAATATCTCTAAGTCATTTTCTAGTTCCATAATCTATGATCTTACTGTCTTACAGATTGAATATGATTAGATAAACAGGGAGAGGAAGGGAAAGAGCCAGCCTCAGAGATAGGCTGCATTACCACACATCACTTCTCTATAAGGGAAGAAAGGCTTGTGTTAAAAGGAGCAAGGGATTGATAAAGCACCTGGGCTGCTAAGAACTTGTCTATGAGAAGATTAAAGATGTGATCAGTGATCAATTGAGGGGAGAAATATGTGGCTGTTTAAAATGGAAATCCACATTTGTTAATCATACTCTTTAGCTCCTAAGAAAATCCTTGCTAGTAAATTTCATAATCTCCAGTCTGGTAAATACTAATTTATATACACCTATGATAAAGATTGCCTACTAAATGAAACACAGACATCACATATATTCTAGAGAAAATATACTCTCCAAGTTCAAACCCTGACATCACACACACACACACACACACACACACACACACACACACACCCCACAAAACAAAATTCCTGATTCAATCCCAGCATGGCCTTGGATAACTCACACAACTCAGACATATATCCAAGGACCTCCTAAGAGCACATGCAGGTCCTGCCTTATCATTCTAATGAACACTAATGAAGATTCTCTGGATGACCATTGGTTGGCTACTCTTGTCCTATTTTCATCTGAGAATGCTAGGATAATAGTGGGGATTGCGCTATTAGAGATGTGGAAGTGGTGAAGATAACAATCATTTATTACTATGTGCCAGGCACTGTGCTAAACACTAAACAAATATTATCTCACTTAATCCTTACAACAATGTTAGAATGTAGATGCTATTAAGATCCCCATTATACAGTTCAGAAAACTGAGGCAGATAAGGGTTAAATGATTTAACCAAGGTCACACAGCTAGAAAGTGTGTGAAGCTGGATTTGAACTCAAGTGTTCCTGGCTCCAGGTCCACGGCTCTATAAATTGTTTCACCTAGCTAGGTAAGAAGAAGGAAAAGAAAGATCAATGACAGAACAAGACAAAAGGGGCTAGGAAGAATGTATCGATGAAGGAGGAGTCTATGGAACCTGTGACACTTTTAGGGGGGAAAAAAAAGCTGGGTGGAGAGAAGGAGGGAATTAAATGAGGCATCACCATGTCTCCAGCCAAGGATCACCATGATGATGGTTTCTAGGAAGTATAGAGATTATCCAGTTTCAAACTCAATGAACCAATAGTCACAAAGATATTTGGTCTAACTTCAATGCCTTCAGACCCAAAAACATAGGCAGATTTTGTACTTGCCATGTGTTGCTTTCTTTGCATAGATAAAACTGGAGATAGAAACTTAACTTGTCCTAAGACATGAGCCAAGAACAGAACAATAATTTCCTGATCCATGTCTTGGCTTTGACCAGGCAAAGGCATAAGTGTTTTCAGGCTATTCATCCTGACCAGAAAGGTCAACATGGGTTACAGTTTAGATGAGGCCTCCTCTTCAATTCCCAATAAAAATCATACTCTTTTGCATCTCAGTGTATATCATTACTTTTTCCCATTGTTCTCATGTGGCACATGAGTAGATATAACAACTTGCTTAAGGTCATGTGGAAAGTCAATGGCAAAACTTCTGAGAGAACTTGAGATTCCTTCCTCCCATTCAATCGTCGCAAACTAAATGAATAAGGATGCTGGAGCACATTCGATATTAGGCATTGAGGTAATCATCATTCAGAACGTTTGCTCAAGAAGGCTTAATGTATGCAACTATTGCTGATGCCTTTTTATTTTTTTCCCAATTCCTACTGTAACAAACCAAAAACTGGCTGTCACTTATTTCCTGTCACGGGCACCTGTGTCTCTGACAGTGTTTATTTTCCGGCGAGTATGAGAGAGATAAAGAGATATGCGGGCCAGGTGGGTAACAGGTTCAGAACCAGTTCCGTTTATTGATCTGAGGGCTAGGGTTTTTATACCTCATTCTTGGGAACGGAACCCAGAGTGGAAAAGGCAAAGCATCAACAATAATTTTTCTCATGGGAACGGTAACTGGGGGAGTCTCCCCGGAGTCGTCTCCTCGCTTCCTGGTTATCTTTCAAGGTTTGTGAAAGTCCTTCTGTTCTCAACGAAAGACAGCACCTGGGAGAGGTTGGACAGCCTACATTCTGACCTACGTGGCTCTTGGATAATGGAAAGGCAACAAGAAAAACCTAGCCCGGCCTAATCCTCAAACCCATCAGTGCAAGCCCTCAACAGTTTCCATCTTTAACCTTACCCTTAAGTGATGACTAATCATGTTTAGACACTCCGATTAGGTCATGAGCAGAAAGAGTTAATGCATTTTCCCAAGTGAGCAGTTTGCTCTTAAGACTTTTTATTGATATTAGGGATAGAATTACACACAGTGTCAAAGAAAGCATCCCAACAGAGAAAGCTGACTCTCTGAGAAGGGTATATGTGTTAGGACATATACATTGTATTATCCCACACAGATCATAGCCCACTTGGAAAAGCAAGATGGAACAAATGTTGATTGTATTCCTAATCATATGCATGTGCGTGTGCCTCTTGAAGATTTAAACACTTTGAGTGTGTCATTGTCAGAAGTATTTTATTTACTTATTTGGGTTTGGGTGGAGGAGAAAGAAGGGAGTTCCAAATCTGTAATTTCATGCAATTCCCACTCCATGAAGATCTATTCCTCTTTACTCAGGCACAGAAAGATTAAGTGATTTGCCCAAGGTCACAAAGCAATGAGAATGGGTCGGAGCCTAGACTTGAACCTAGGTCTTTCTGATTGCAAGGCCAGTGCTCTATCGACTACACTAAGCTTTCTTTTTAATCAAAAGGTAAATGAGATTAAATGAAAGATGTTAAAATGAGATGCACAAAGCATTATTTTGTTTCTTTTCCTAGACCTTAACACAATTCATGCCATCTAGTAGGCACTTAATCAATGCTTATTGATTGACTTTATATGAACAAGTAAATTAGTAATAACTTTAGAAAGTCCTTGGGAATGAATTTTAATTTATTTTAAAGATACAATATGCCTGTAATTGATTTCTAAAATCAATTATATGTAGACATATATAAATGTATATGTATATACACACTCATATATATGTCTATGCATTTTACTGGGTTTCCCCCCTCCACATTTAAAGATTTAACTTCATATTAACTTTTTTTTTGAAAATAATCTTCAAGCTCTGCACTTATGCATGAAAGCCTATCAAGGAACCCCAATAAACAATCCTGAAATATTACAATCAATACAGGTTTCAGAGACTTACCCAGGTAATCCTCCAGTCTCCATGACATTTGCTAGAGTCACGTCATTTGACCAGACATCATATTGCCACTTTCGAAGTCCTAGCACCCCACACAGGACACGGCCTGTATGCAGGCCCACTCGCATGTTGAGGTCAACTTCAGTGGCTTCTGCAACAGACCTGAAATGGATAATAGGAGACTTTGGTACCTTAGAGATCACTTTAACTTCTAATTCTTATGGAGTAGTGATGCTATATCCCATATTTTCTAAGGTACTGTATTAAAGAAATTGCTTCATGGTTGTAAGAATTTCATTCTTGAGAACTCCCCCTTGAACGAGATTTCCTTCTAGGATTTTTAGGTCATGGGATTATATCTCTCAAAGAAACCTTCAAAACTCCCTCTTACAAAATCTAGGGTATGGTAACAGATTATACTCAGTTTTCTTTTTATCACAGATTCTAAAATTCATTAGTTACTTCCTCCTAAAGGTCTTATCATATCTACTTCAGAAACCAATTCCTTCTGATTATTTCTTTCTCCAGTTTTCAAAGAACTAGATTATCAAGACAAGTTAAAATTATAAAATGCTCTCCTTTTATCAAAAAGCAAGTACCAGTAAGATATTTGCATATTTGAAGCCCCCAAACTATATCATGCTTTCCTGATGCATTGTGATGGGTTTCCTGAACTCATCATCTATTTTCTCTTTCTGGACGAGGGGTCTATTGTATATTCTCATGATCATATTTTTTCTATCTGTCCCTTCATGGATTATTTAACTCAAATGTTCTCCAACTATATTTCTCCTCCAGTTCCTAAAGGTCCTTGCATGAGTGTGCCTTTTTTTTTTTAATTAGACAATGCAACTTCACTGCCCCTTTTATCTCTTTAGAAGAGAAGCTCCTTCTTCTACAGGGAACCCAACAGTTCCAACTCCATTTCTAATCATCCTGATTGACATCTGGCCACTGGACCCAGGTGGCTCCAGAGGAGAAAGTGAGGCTGGTGACTTTGCCCAGCCCTCCCTCACTCAGAGTCAATTGCAAGTCACATATGTCATCATCTCTCTGATGTCATAGTTCTCTTCTAGAATGAAGGACAAACCACACAAGAAGAACATGATATCTAGAATATAGCTCCAAAGTTTTATCAGTCCTTCTTCCCTTTCTTCTCTATGTCATATTCTCTCACTCTATCAAAGATTCTTCATTCTCCTTCATAGCTTACAGAATAGGCATCCCTATTACGATAACTGGCCAGTTTATCATCTTCCCCATTTGGAAGGTCATTATGCATTTTGTTTATATGCAGCTGTTACTTGACACAGTCAGAAAAACAAAAAAATCCCCTTCCCTTCTATACTTGATGACAACAGCAAGGTTCTCAACTCTTAGTTGTTTTTGTGGCTAACTCTCATGGAAAACTACCTAAATGCTACACTCTTTAGTTACTCTGGGGGCACTCTTACCTATTTAAGAAAAAAAAAGATATAATGGTCTTAGCCTTGGAGTAGAACACTAGTATGCTCAGCTAACATTGGGGCACAATTAGCAGATTCCTGCCAAAGTCCTAATACAAAAAAAGTTCTCAGTTGCCTATGGGAAGAAGAAATGGACTTTCAGCTGCCTCTTATCTCTTTCCATTAATCAGACTTCTAATAACTTGTTTTGCCATTTATCTGCATATGAATATATGTATATATATATACACACATATATATGAAATCACACATGCATACATGCATATATAAATATGAATATATATGCATGTATGTCTATATATACATATGCGTATACATTTATATGTATGGTCATCATTCAACACTTACATAATTCACATTCTCCATTTTGGTTATTCATTGGTTGGCCATTGATAATTAAATGGGAATTTTTACACATTTGTGGCATACTGCAGAAAACTGTACATGACACCCATATGTAAAGAAAACTAAAAAAAAATTAGTAAGTCATAAATATATAAATACTGCATATTACTGATATATTTTTATCAATTACTTCCACAAGTATATATACATATATAAATTTGTACATACATTTGTATACATACATAAATTTATTATGAACAGTTAAATTTTATTAAAAGTTTCACTCTGTGTTGAAGACCTATAGGCTAGGCATCTCTCTTTGCCAATGCCTCCTCTTTAGTTTTCTGCCACCCAGGATCAGCCACGTGATTCTGCCTCCCCCTTCCCCCCTACCCCGCAGTGATCTTTGTATCTTGTACTTTTTGTAGGAGAAGCAAATCACTGAAGCAGTTGACACAGCTACAGCAGCAGCTGTGAAGACTCTGCATAGTGTGCAAGATACTAATCTCTCCTGAGCCGAAACTGTAACTTTTTTCACAGGTGCAACATGTTGTTTTATTCGTTTTTGTGTCAAATCAATATGATCAGAATTATTAAAAAAAAAAAGGTTTGGGATGGAGCCTAGAGATATTGGTGGTTTTTCACATTCTTGGGGGTCCTGAGCCCCTAACCCCCACGGATATTGAGGTATGACTGTACATGTGTGCATATGCACATGTGTGTGTGCATGCTACCACTCTCTACTCATATGTTTTGTCTCCCCTATTAGAATGTAGGCTTTTTGAGTGCAAGGAATGACTTACTTTTCAATTTGTATCCCTGGTGCTTACTTACCATAGTGCTTTGTATACAGAAAGTGGTAAATAAATGTTTCATCGATTCATTCATTCCAATACACCTTATGTTTCATCATCTCGCCTATTCTTACTGACCCTGTGTTCTATTCCTGGGATTTGCTTCCTCCTTCATTGGCTGAAATCTACCTACATTTAAAGCCCAATTAAAATGGTGCTACCAATTCTAGGAAGCCTATTTGTATCTCCATACCCCAACATCCAGCTGGTAAGAGACTTTTCCCTCAGATCTTATCTTACACCTTGTTTTACAGTTTCCTAATGCTCTTATCATGTTGCCTGCACCTTATAACTTATTGCTTTCCTTGCTGGCATGCTCAGGCCTAACCTAAGCTCTGCATCTTCCCTCAAAGAAGCAAGACAACTTTATGGATGACAGCGGTTTAATAGATGCCTGTTGAAAAAACTAACGTGACCATATATTTAATCATGGCCCAGAGTTTGCAGTGTTTTTTTAATAAAATACTATTTATTTCCAGTTAACATTAAATATAATTTTTAAAGTATAGAAATTATAAGCAAAGCAGTCTTTTAAAAAGTCTTATATGTAGCAGTGAGCTAGGTCATGATAACAAAGAAAAATCATCAAACTATCTCATTTGTGAAATTATAAACTTTTCATTGAATTCACGTACATTCCTATACTCCAGAGCACACATAAATTCAGTGTATTATAAGGGACATTCTAGAGATAATCCTCCCAAGTCTTTCTCTATTTTACTTCAAATTTCTACAGCCAGAGCTGTGGAATAATTAAGGGGAATTATCATTTAAGGAATTTGTACAGTATAGGAACCTTGAAATACTTGACCTGTAAATAGAAAATTACAATTCAACACACTAATTACAGATCCTGCACACACCCACCCCCAATCACTGAACAACTGCCCAGACTATTACTTCAAACCAGTCCTTCAGTCCAATCCTTGGGTGTCTTCATTGCCATCATCCATATTTTCATGAAGTAATTTTATCAACTAGCTGATACCGTTAACACCTTGGATTCCCAAAATAAAGATGCTAGCTTTTGAGTGAGACATCCTTGAAAAAGAACATCTGGGACCTCCAAATGTGATGAATAAGTAGGCAAACGAGCAGGCATTTGCCTTGGCTTCAAAGCCATAAGGCTTTCTGTTGTGGCAGCTGCTACATATTGATGAGAAAAAAGAACATAGTAGAGGCAGATTGAATTACTTGAATACTCAAAAGAACTGAGCTCCAGGCATTCACTTACATTGACAGAATGACTTTAGCAGAGAAGCTTTAGTTTTAAAATCAGTCCACTATATAAGTCTAAAGGAAGTCGGAAATAAGGCTAACTTAAAAAAAAAAGGTACTCAATAGCAAATCATGCATTGTTCCCGTCTACATTTGAACAAAATAACATGCCACATGAGTGTGGTGACCAATTATAATTTGAAGATAAACAGAACATACATCGTGGGATGTATTTCTTTTGGAATTTCTATTTGTCTAAGTCCTTTCAGGAATGTACTCTACTGTTCTCTGCCCTGGTTAGAGCATATTTGTAGTATTCTATTGAGATCTGAATACCACATTTAAAGCAGGACAATGATAAACTGGAGAGTTTCCAGAGAAGGAAAGCCAGAATGGTGATGAGCCATTATAGGTGACTATGCCCTGGGATTACTGTTTGAAGGAACTAAGGTTATTTTGCTCAGGGAAGAGAAGCTTCCAGGAGAACAAGAAAGCTGTTTTTACACATTTGAAATGCTCTCCTGTAGAAGCGGGATTACTTGGTCCCAGAATGCAGAACTAGAAGGAATGAGTGGAAGTTGTAAAGAGGTAAGAGAGGTGTGGGCTACCTGGAGAGGTAATAGAAACTTTCAAAGGAATTTGAATGACTGCTAGTTGAGTAGTCTGGAATGATTCCTGTTCAGGTACAGGTTGGAGTAAGAGCAGTGCTGTATAACAGAAAAAAAAATACGTATATATGTATATGTGTGTGTGTGTGTGTGTGCGCGCGCGCGCATGTGTGTGTGTGTGTGTGTATGTAGGTAGAGAGAGAGAGAGAGAGAGAGAGAGAGAGAGAGAGAGAGAGAGGGAGAGAGTTCTTTTGGATGTTGGGAGAACTCTTCTATTGGGTCTGACCAATATGGAACCAGGCTGTATCAGAAGAAGATGATTTCCCCATTACTGGAAGTCTTTCAACTGGAGACTAGATTGCTGTTCATCAGTGATATTATAAAGAAGATGCTGACCAGGTCTAGGTTAGAGAGAAATTACCTCTGAGGCCCCTTCTACCCTGGACAATTAGTAAATAGTTATTTGAATAAAGATAAGGACAAAATTCAAATTAGACCAGATTTTTAAATCTCTTTTAAAAAAAGTCATTTATCTATATTGTGGTTGGAAGATCAATAAACCAGGACCTTGGAGAAGCATATCACCATACAACATGCTTTTGAGTGAGGCTGACTCTTTGGCAGGTGAAAGAAGAGGCATTCGAGAGGCTCCTTAGGAGCCATGGGGTTTACAGTTTCGGAGCAGAGGGTCTTAACCTTGGGTTTGTGAACTTAATTTTTTTGATGACTGTGTTTCAGTATAACTGTCTTTCTTGGTAATCCAATGTATTTTGGTTGGCAATCATATGTATTCATGCATTTGAAAACATTATTCTGAGAAAGGGTCCATAGACTTCATCAGACCACCAGATGGGTCCAAGACACCAAAAGAGATTAATAACTCTTGTTTTAGGGAAAGTAACATTTTTCATTCCCCCATGGCTCCTCTGAGACCTGGCCTTTGCTGGTTGGGATTATGTGAACTAGTGGCAAGCTTGAACTAGTCTGGAGGAAGAGGGGCAAAGAATACAGTGGAAGGAGAAAGAGCAGGTCGTGGCAGGAGTCATGGGATGTCTAAAGTGATTGGGATTGTGGTCTATAGGTAGAGGCCAGCAGCAGTAGGTTACCTCAGCTTCTATTTTATGATGAAAACTTAGACTGTGTCTTATTGAAAGAAGCCCACTCCTCAGCAAGAACTATGAGAAAGCCCTGCAAATACAACTCTCACTTTCTCTCTCTGACCTAACTTGGTACCATCAAGCATACTTTTCTGATTTTTTTTGCTATGTACTATAATATTTCTCTATGTTGCTTTTAGCTTTTTTCCACATAAAATTCTATGCTCTATCATGAAATTGATGTATTACCTTTGTGTACTTTGGTAGCTTCCAGAGAATGCAGATAGAAATAACTTTGTTTAACTATGTAGAATCTAACAGACTATAAAAGTTTCTCAGCCCAGTGGGCTAGCTGCTACCTGGGGGGATGACAAGCTGTTTTTTTTTTATTATTATTAATGATTCTATCAATTTTCCATAAGCAGAACTTCAGTATAAAATAGAAAGTAGGAAGTTGGATCCTTGAGGATATTGCTATGTAAGGTTAGTGTTGTATAGTGGGAAAGAGTGCTAGATTTGGAGTCAGAGAGTAAGTTCAAATAAAGCTCTGCCACTGACCACCTGGATGACTTTAGATTAGTAACTTAGCTTCTAGGGGCTTCAATTTCTAAATTTATAAAATAAGAGGATGTCAGCAAGATGTCTACTAGAGTTCCTTCTAGATCTAAATATATTGTCCTAATTATTTATGTAGGCCTAATGGAACAAAAAGTGACTGAATTAGATAAATAAACTTTGTATTCTGCTTTTGAGAAAAGACAGTTCAATCTTGGTGATTTGCATTATCTTGAAGGTTCAAACCCACTGGAAAAATTATGAAATCTTATAATTATGAGGTTTATGAACTCTCTATCCTACTTTATTCTTTACTAACAAAATTTTCATTTTCATTCCTTCCATTCTATAAATCTTAGGGAAACCATTCCCCTTGTCATCTTAATTAATGGCTTATGTTTATCAAAAAACAGTTCGTGGTACACTAGACCTGAAGTCAGGAAGGCCTAAATTCAAATCTGACTTCAGACATTTGCTAGCCATGACTTTGGCTGAGTTATCTAAGCTATATTTGCCTCAGTCTCCTCACCTGAAAATAGAATAATATTAGCACCTACCTTCCAAGGTTGTTGTGAGAATCAAATGAGCTAAAAATTGTGAATTCCTTAGCACAGAGCCTGGCACACACCTAGTAAATGCTCTATAAATGTTAGCCATTTTTACTATTATTATTAAAAGAATTCCTACATGGGTCCTTAGGTAGGCTGAGATGTAGCTGTCATAAATCACTACAGCTTTGTCTGGCATGCAATAATCCCAATCTATTGCATAGAACTGTGACAGCGACCCACCCAGACTCAGTTATATCATTCAATTTCCTTACTCTCTGTGCTTATGCATTTATTTGTTTAATCAGGCAGTTATTCATTCATTCATTCATTCATTCATTCATTCATTCATTTACCATAAGCACAGATTACAAAAAATTAAGATGACATGTATGTCAAAATAATTGCTACTTCGGGAGAAACCCCATCAGGTTTAACCTTTTTTTTTCAATATATACTCAAAAAACTAAGTGTCCCTACCTTCCTGTCCCTTAAGCTTGGTAGTCTTGAAACAAATACTTTGTGAGAAAGGGAAAGTCACTCCGTGTCTCATCCTCATTTCCTCATGTTCAAAATCTGGATAATAATACTTTGAATATTTATCTCAGTGTTTTGTGAGGAAAATGCTTTGCAAACCTTAAATTCTATAGAAATTTGACCTATTATAAAAATAATTTTAATTATTCTTTTAGTAAAATAACAATTTTTAAAGGCAAAGATGAATCTGAAAAGACACACACCACATTTGAATATTGTTGTATGTCTTTTTATAGCCCTTCTGATGAAGCTACCCACACTCATGCTCGATGTTTGGAAAAGGAATACACTTGCACCCTAATTAAGCAGTGTTTTAATATGAGTTTATGCTGCATTTGTTGGAAAGATAATTTAACAAAGGTTGCTCCAGTCAAAATATGAATTAGTCCTATGATGGGACCATTACAATAAGAAAATTCTTTATGTGTTAAAAAAAACCCTCAGTCATTGGATAGTGATTAGCAATTAGTAGATGGCAAGCACAATATGAATGAATGGAATAAAATGGCTGTTCCTAAAGCTAATGGGATCTGAGGTAGCATAAGTAAGAATCATAGTGTCTAGAGAGAGAAAGGTTAAGCTTCCCTGTATTCATCGGTCCTGTTCACATTTCTCCTTTTGCACATTGTTCAGATGAATCCCACAATAGTCTAAACTCTTCTAGTTTCCTTGTACCTTATTCATCCTGGAAGATTTTTTTTCCTACTCTACTTATCTTCTTTTTACATATGGCATGCTTAGTGCTGCTATTTTCCCACGAGTCAGTCTGCAATGAAACTAGGTTTGTATGAGAATATCCCTGTGTTTTAAGGTCAGAAAAAGTGAAATGCTAAATATTTCTGTGAACATATTCCCAAGAAATGAGCATCTGAATCCTCTGACAGAAGATCATTTCCTTCTGGTTAAATATTAAAAATGAGCTTGATTCAAACACTCAAACATGTAGTCAACACAGGCCCATGATTCACAAGCGTTTACTACAATTTCTCTCCCCACTTTAACATTTGCTTCATTCAATATCTCTTTCAAAGCACTGATGGGAAATTCATCTTACCTTTCAGAAAAATCTGCATAATATTTGAAAACATCTGAATTGACTGTCATGTTTCAAAAAGGCAAGATATCCTTATGAAAGTGTTGTCAATGAGCTGTTAGTTTACAATAGAAGGCTGAAAATGTTGGGCAAATACTGACATATGGGAAGACAGTAGTGAGCATTTCTTTCCTTTTCTATAGTATGCTAGAGTATGTGTGAAGCATGAACATGCTTTTTCTGAATCAGCTTAATATGTTTTCATGTGTATAGATTTCAATGCAACCTTCTGTGGGGGGAGGAGGAAGAGGGCAGGGAGCCAGGGATGTGGGACGATCTGGATCCATGGTTTCTTTAGAATGTGTTACAATTGACTAATTATTTAAAGTCACAGAAAGTCCTTTAAAACTTAAAAGTGATAGACAAGTTGTTCATCTGCACATATTCACATATATCTCATAAATGCACATGATTATCTATAAGAGAAGCTATTAATCTGCACATATTCACAAATATCTTGTAAATGTATATGGTGATCTATAAATGTATTGGTGTGTATGATTATGCACATACAAAGTGATTTGTTTAAATGGCACTTGCTTGTTTTGAATCCTTTCTGAAATATGTCAAATGTAAGAACATATCCTAATTCAAAATGGAGAACGAGAAATACATTTTTTAGGACACGGACTTGACTTTGCAAAGTTTTTACAAAGTTATTTTTTTTTCCTTTTAAATTAGGAGATGGAGGGAGAAAAAACATAACTGTTCAGTTGAAAAATAAACTTTTAAAAAGAACATGCCATAATGCTAATTGTCAGTATTTCCCAAATTCTCAAAATTTCAGAGAGAGTTAAATGGATTAAAATCAACATTTGTTAAACGTCATGTTGTGTTTCCTTAAAAGTTCTGCTCAAAACCAATAGATTTGAGCGTAGCATCACCTGGGACTTCCTCAGAACCATTACCAACAGGAGTAGGCTTCTAGATTCAGGACAGGCGCTTTAAATAGGATGTGTATTGTTCCAAATCCAAAGGACTTGGCCAAACTGTTCCCAGGAGCACAATGAGCTACATTATAATTACATCAGTCAATTTCCTAGGTGGTTCTGCATCTACACATCTCCCCACAAAATCTCTTCTTTTATCACAAATACAGGATGAAAACTCCATTCCCAGTATCTCTGCAAGTGGCAGCTTTGGCAAATAAGTGATTACAAAATCCTTGCTGCTCTAGACTGTTTTCTCCCTTACAGAAGAATCCAGCTAAAACCTAAAAGATCCAACAAGTTTGTCCAATACATTCACCAAATTATCTTCGCAGGTCATTTTTTGATGAAAATGGAACTCCCTATCATGGTAACCAGGAACTAGTAATTCATCCTCACTGTAATGTCAGAGTATATTACTTTATGGATAAAAGCATGCCATGGAAAAAATGCCAAAAAGTATGATCTGAGACTGAAAGACTTAAAACTAGAGTTTATGGCACAGAGGGTGCAAACTCCCATTTCTTTTTCACATGATCATCAGAAGTCAGCTAGAATACAGAAATTATTCCATAAGTCCATGGGAGTGGGGAAATGAAGTGGGAGGGTGGTGACAGATAATGGGATTTGAAAGAGAAAAATCCATTAAAAATGTTAAATGGGATCATCTGTTATGAGAAGACATCTCTTACTGGGCAAAAATTATTGTCCAAAATGATATCATCCTCTAAGTACAGGGGCTATTTCTCCTGTGAAGCCCTTCCAGCCCCGCTTCTGAGATACTCACGTGATGGTATCAATCATGTCCAGCCCCATTTCGACACAGCAGTGGGCATGGTCGGTTTTGGGCTGGGTCAGTCCTGACACACAATAGTAGCAGTCCCCCAGGATTTTAATTCGTCTGCAGTGGTTTTCCTTTTGTAATAAAGAACAGAAACATACATCTTAAGATTGTGACAGAAGTAACAATGTGTCATAACAAATTCTTTACCCCAAACTGCATAAAATTGCACGAAAAATTGAACAAAACTTTATCACTCTCTTCAGCTACATTATGAACCTCTTTTTCCTTCAGTTTCACTGAAACCTCAAAGTTAATTAGGTTAATGTTGGCATTAATATATCCCATATTTAAAGAGAAATACTAAAATCAATAGCATATCCTAAACCTATGTTTATCTATAGATATAGAATAACAGAATTTAGAATTGGAGGGGACATTAGGATCATTCAGTAAAAACAGGATCATGGATCAATAGTTGGAAAGTACCTCAGAGGCCATCTAGAAAAGCTTCCTTGTTTTACAGGTGAGGAAACTGAGGTTCATGGAGGTTAAGTGATTTGCCCAAGGTCATACAGGATGCAAATATCAGCGGCATGATCTGAACTCGGGTTCTCTGACTCCTGGGCTAGTGCTCTGTCCACCTTACCATACTATCTCATAGTCCAAACCCCTTATTTTAGAGATAAGGAAATGACCTGGTGAATGTTATACAGGTTATATTATTAACAACCCAGGATAGAGGGACAGAAGCTGAGATTTTTGTTGAGATAGGGAACTCTCCAGTGAGGAAACTCTCTCTACTAGTATAAGCCAGCATCTTCTCTGTAACCATGAGCCTGACCACAAAAAGCTACTACAGTGGCAGGGAAGATTGAGACACTAACCCAGAAGAAGAAAATGTGAAAACAACTATAAGCAAAGCCTCAAAGAAAAAAAATACAGTGTACACAAGCCCAACAAGAATTTCTGGAAGAATTAAAGAGATAAGAGTAGCAGAGGGAAAATTGGAAAAAAAATGAGAATGATGTAAGGAAATTATAAAAAGAGAATTAACAGCTTGGTAAAAGAAGCACAAAAAGAAAATACTGAAGAAAACACCACCTAAAAAACCAGAATTGGCCAAATGGTAAAAGAGACACAAAAATTCATAAAGAAAAAACCTTTTTAAAAAGAAGAACTGACCAAATGGGAAAAGAAGTACAAAAACTCATTGAAGAAAATAATTCTTTAGGGGCAGCTAGGTGGCGCAGTGGATAGAGCACCAGTCCTGAATTCAGGAGTACCTGAGTTCAAATCCGGCCTCAGACACATAACACTAGCTGTGTGACCCCAGGCAAGTCACTTAACCCCACTGCCTAGCAAAAAAAGCCCAAACAAACAAAAAAGATAATAATTCTTTAAAAATCTAAATTGGGCAAGTGGAAGCTAATGACTCTATGACACATGTTGTGGTTGTTGTTCAATCATTTTCAGTCATGTCTGACACCTCATGACTCCTTTGGGGATTTTCTTACAAAGATACTGGATTGCTTTGTCATTTCCTTCTCCAGCTCATTGTACAGATGAGGAAACTGAGGCAAACAGGGTTAAAGTGACTTGCTCAGGATCACACAGCTATTAAAGTGTCTAAGGCCGGATTTGAACTCGGGTGTTCCTGACTCTAGGCTCAGCACTCTAACCACTGTGTCACCTTCCTGACCTCCATAAGACATTAAGAAACAATAAAACAGAGTCAAAGGAATGAAAAAAATAGAAGAAAATGTGAAATGTCTCATTGGAAAAACAATTGATCTGGAAAGCAGATCAAGGAGGAATAATTTAAGAATTATTGGAGTGCCTGAAAGCCATGATCAAAGAAAGAGTCCATTTCAGGAAAGTATAAAAGAAAACTGCCCTGACATCTTAGAATCAAAGGGTAAAATAGAAATTAAAAGAATCTAACAATCACCAGAGTATAGAGAATGTTCTCAAGGATGAGACTGATACCGACCTTGAAGGGGAGAATAGTAGCTGCTTATCTTTCTACTTATGTTAAACTACCTTAGCTATAAAAAGAAGTGTGTGGGTGGTCTTTGGGGTCAAGTGCCTAAAGTATACCCACTTCTCCATACCTTTCAAAGCATGAATTCTTATATAAGTAAGAATTCTCTTTCATTCTCTATTAGCTAAATCTTTGCTACAGTACTACAGTAAAATATATTAATTTGGAGATGTGAAAACTTGGAAAAGGGTGTCTTGTGGAGGGCATGCAAATTTTACTTCTGCTGATTCATAAGGGCAGTAGCAATACTGCCAGAAGGAAGCTATAAAGATTAGGAAGTTGTGGAAAGAAACTGAAGACAATTGGGACAGAGGTGATGTTTTCATCACTGCTATGGATTCAAGGAAGGTATTCAGCAATGAAGGACCTCTTTGGAAAAGACCAGAGAAAGAGTGAAGGATCACTTAGCCTGAAGAGGAAGATGAAGGGAGACAATCATGACTTCAAGCAGAAAATTCTTCTTCAGAGAAGAGATATATACACTCCAATTCTGATGAAAACAGAGCAGGAGGAAAGATAGACTCGTATATATGAGAAAATATCATGCTTTTAAAAGCTACTGAAAAAAATGCGACGGAAAAGAAATAAATTGGAAAAAAAGCAAGGAAAAGACTAAAAAAAAAAAACTACCAATCACCTCCTAAAAGAGATCCCAAAATGAGAACTTACAGCCAAATTCAAGAGCTCCTAGGTCAATGGGAAAATAGTGCAAGCAGGCAGAAAGAATTCAAACATTAAGGAGCCATAATCAGAATCACACAAGATTTGCACGTTAAAGAAGTGGAGAACTTGAAATATGATATTCCAGAAGGCAAAAGAGCTAGGATTATAACCAAGAATGACTGACCCCACAAAACTGTGTGTAATCCTTCAGGAGAAAAAGTCCATTTTTTTCTTGAAAAGAAAACAAGGCAGGAAGGCAGGCCAGGAAGAAGACAGGAAGGAAGGAAGGAAGGAAGGAAGGAAGGAAGGAAGGAAGGAAGGAAGGAAGGAAGGAAGGAAGGAAGGAAGGAAGGAAGGAAGGAAGGAAGGAAGGAAGGAAGAAGGAAGGAAAAAAGGGAGGAGGAAGCGTTTAGGTAGATACTGAGAGAGAGATACTATTATTTTCCTTTTCTTTCCAGTCATTTCTTTACAGATGAGTAAACTGAATCAGAAAGAGGTTCAAGTTACTTGACCAGGTCACACAGCTAGTAAGGCCAGATTTGAACTCATATCTGCCTAATTTCAAGGACCAGTATTCTATTCTCTATGTACTTAACTCTATTTGTCTTAGTATTCATTTTGTAAATAAAAATAATCTACCTTATATCACTGGAATTTATCCAATTTCAGGCATATCTGTACACACACACACACACACACACACACACACACACACACACACTTACCAAAAGAATCAGACACAGTTTCACACCTAGGCTTCATATACACGTAGAAGAAACTTATCCCATTTCTAGCCCTTTGACTCCCAGGAGATTGAGACATAGTAATCTTGGTATTTATGTTCATATCCAGAACTCAACCTCAAATTTATCTGTAACACTGAGAGGGCAAAAAGTGTATCTGTGGATGTGTATGATTGTGTGTGTGGCACACATATACACATATATCTTATTAAGGAGCATGGTTTATTGTGATGATGAAAAATCTTTCTATTCCTATACTTTGATAGTATTTTTTGTATTCCTACTCATTAGTATTTTAACATAAATGAGGATTATATTTAATCAAAGTTTTTCCTACATTTATTAATATAGCATATAATTTTATTAATGATCTATTATACTAATTATTTTCTAATATCAAACCATTCTGCCATTTCTGCTATAAATTTAACTTAATCAAAATGAAATTTTAAAATGTACTGCTGTATCCTACTGGACAGTATTTTACTTTTTTCTCTTGGGTATTCATTCATGATATTGGTCTATAGTTCCCTTTCTCTGCCTATGTTTTCCTAGTTTGGGAGTAAGAACCATATTTAGCTCATAGAAAGCACTGTGTAGAATGCTGTCTGTCTCTATTTTTGAAAATGTTTTATATACCTTAAGGGTGTTTGATAGAATTAACTAATGAATGAATCTGTCTTTCTTATCACGACATTTCACAAATTGTGTATTCCACTTAAATTACTGGATTTATCTAGTTATTTTGCCAGTATGTATATTTCATATTTTTATTGATAATAATTCATTTCTTTTATAGCTTCTGTTCTGATGAAATTTGTTTGTCATATTCTTTATGAGAAAACCTCCTTCACTATCTGTTGTTGTTTCTCCCTTCTTGTTTTTAATTTTTGTTGATCTAGTTTTCTTCTTTTTGTTTCAGTTAAATTAGCCAACAGTATGCAAATTGTAGTGACATTAAAAAAAATAAAACAGCTTTATATTTTACTCGCTAATTTAGCAGTGTTGGGTTAGTATTACTTTTCCCCCCTTTCAATTCTGTTAATTTGCTATTTGATTATAGTAATCAAGTCTTCTTTTCTGCTTATCGTGATTGAAATAATATGCCAGCTTTCTAATGTGTAATCTGCAATGAAAGCTCATTGTTTCTTTTTCTCCTTTATTAATATAGTCAAGCAAATGAATTTGTCTTTAAGAACTCATTTAGCTGTATTACATAAATGTTTATAGGTTGTATATGCCATTATTGTCATTACCTTCAACACAGTTTGTTATTTCTTTAATTTGGCATGTGGCTCAATCATTCTTAAGCAAATCCTCATCATTTACTACTATTCATCCTTCCACCATTATTTTAATTTTATTATGTTCTGTAAAAGTAGCATTTAAATGTTTAATCATTCTTTATTTGTATTCTTTATAACCTAAGTGTGATCTATATCAAAGATGCCATATGAAATGATAAATAATCAATTCTAAGTATTCCTCATGTACATTTGTTTGAATAAAAAGTAAATTTTCTAACCTATTCATTCAAATTCTCATCACTTATTTTTTCAGTATTCTGTTGAATGTTTAAATTTCTTTGTCATTTATCTTCTTATCTAAGTAATTATATTCTGAAAGTAAAGTATTATAATATGTACCTATTAATGTTTTTCTATCTATAGCCTTTAGCAATTCA